TTTGCTTTTCACAAACTTGTTTAAAAGGTTTGTTTTTCTTCATACAGTGGAAAGTGCAGTAAGTTTTTTTATGCCATTCACAAAGGTTTATACTGTTTACAAATGAAGTTTCATATTTAATGTTTTATACTAATTTGATTAAGTTATTGTTGTGCAATAAAACTAAAAACAATAACTCTTTCTCATTGCAGTATGTTCATCACAGCAGCCGTCGTCTATACAATATATGTGAATAAACCCAGAAAATTATAAACCCCCCTCCTTCACTCTAGGAAAAATTGTTAGCCCTCCCTTTTCATATACAGAAAATGGAAAGGCCCCCCCTTAGAATTGCCCGGCACCCCCCAGGCCAGATTAACTGGTGATTCCCCTAGGCCACCACGATGTGCATTGGTAACCATGCACGTTCAACAATCATACCCAAATCTGGAGAAAAATGTTCAATGTTTGCACTGAAATTAAGATTATCATCATTTTAAATTCAGTCATTCGGTTAAAAACAATCTGATCAGAGAAAAAAATTGACATGCATATGATAAATACTATGACCTGTCATTGTACCAAGTTTGAACCAAATCGACCAAACCCTGTGTCTATTTGAGAATTGACTAGACACACACACTACGAAACAAAATGGCCACCAGTCGGCCATTTTGAGATAAAATTAAAAAAAAAAGAACTCCCAACATATAAAACCATCATACCAAGTTCTAAAAAAATTGGCCTAAGCCTATTCGAAATAAGTGTATTTAGCGCATTTTAAAAAATCGACAATTTTGAGTCGAAATATATAAAAACATTAGACACCCAATATACAGCCTTCATAACAACTTAATCGGCCACCGTGTTAACTACGAGCACTAATTAATAATAACCATAGTTACAGCTAATAAAATAACATTGCCGTTTTTCATACAATGTTAAAACAGACTCAGTGATAGGCATAGAGTACAACAACTACCGTCATTGATAAAATCGATCTGATTAAAATCTGATGTAGTGTACGGGCTTTTTATTATTATTATTAAATATTATTTATTTTGTTTGAATTAACAGTATTTTTTTTATCGTTTTTACGTGGTTTTAACATTTTGTCATTTTGAGGCCCTACCGATGTAAAAACGATAAAAAACAATAAAATACTGTTAATTCAAACAGTTTAACGCGAACCCGAAAAGAAATCCGAATCCGGGGCTAACTTCACTAACACAGTCGGCTTGGTTCAATATGGCGGCTTGTTTCTGCTGCTTTCGTTGTTGTTGGGCTGGGACAGGCTTCCAGCACGTACCACTTAAAGAACTTCCCCCAGTTGTGCTTGATACGGGGCATATGGGTGAGTAAAGTTTGCTTATTTGACTCTACTAACCACGTGTTGACGACACAACTCATGGAACGCACGGCGAGTTATGGGAGAGAGCTGACGGTGACAGATTAATAATGGAAATCATATTATAATAGTCGAATATTACCTGTCAACACGATCATTTAATTGCCGTATATCGACTGTCCAGACTTCATTTATATTTAGCGTCTCATTATTGTCCAAATAGTCGTCAAGTTCTAGGAACGTGAAAAACTGTGTTTTTGCTTTTGTTTTAATTTTTTATAAAAACATTTTTCCTTGAAAATTTTGAAAGTTTTTTGTCCAATTTGTGAAGAATTCACCATGTAGTGGTCAACTAGCTATTTTGTGAGTCGGGGAAAAAACGCCAATTTTTATAGCAGTGAATATTTGACTAGAATTTTTACAGTTGTGCTCAGATCTTTTATAGAGCTTCATTGGAATATTGGCTCTATATACAAGGCTTCACGAATTCGTGCAATTGCCTCAGTGTCCAATTTTTTTTATATTATTCCTATAAGCTAATGCCATTTCAAAAATGTTGACCACGAAAATTAATCCTTCAACTCCAAGTTCAAGCACTGCTACTGTAAGTACTGTACTTTCACTTGGAATTGTTTTTGCTGAAGAAAGGAATCAATGAAAATACTTTTTTCCTATATTTTACAATCAATATAAATAAAATTCATACAAAAAACAAGCAAAATTAATTCCAGCTGAAATAAAGTATTCACAGTATTACGTGAAATATTTTATGGTCTTATGTGAGTGAATTCAGAAAATATTTGATTATTCACTTGTTCTGCCGTTCAAAACAGAAGCAAATCTACATGCATCGGAAAATTATTCAAAGGTATTAGCATATAAAATCCAATAAGATGTTGAATCAATCACCAGCATTTGACTTGCTGAAAATCATAAAGATTTGTATGTTTAGTGTATTTCCTGCAATACAGACCATCAAATATTCTACACAATAGTCGGAATGCCCCAATACAGCTATACCGGTAAATCTGATACTTGTACTTTATTAAACACGTAAAATTCCCCAGGAGGAATTAAAATGGTTACATTTACACTAAACAAAACTAGACTAATAATACAAAACATTAAGACTAAATAATGATTAAAAAAAATAATAATAATAATCGAAATAAAAACAAATAAAAAAACATGAATAGTAATAAATCCCACTAACAGCAGTAATAAAGGTAGAAGAAACCATTGTTAAAAAGTAATAACAATAATGATGCGTTTAAGGGTTAACAATTTTGGAGGTGTTGCTGTCTTAATTAAGTCGAGGGCAGTTTTAATGAATTTTCAGAGTGTGATATGAAATTAGGTAAAATTATAACTCATTGTCAGTGCAAATTGTTCATTAATTGTAAAATTATCAAAATTATTAATTTGTTTCCTACATTTCTCAAATATTAATTTTCTTTGGTCATTGTAAAATGGACAAGTCATGATGAAATGTTGTTCGTCTTCTATTTGGTTTTTTGTGCAAAGTTCACATACTCTTTCTTCTACAGGTGTTTTTGGTTTGGAATGTTGTCCTGTTTCTATTTTTAAATTGTGGTTGCTTAGTTGAAATTTACATAATGTTTGTCTTAGTTCAACATTTTTCAGTGATATCAAATAGTTTTCTAATTCAAATTTATTTTTAAATTTTCTGTATGTTCTTAATTTATTACCCTCTCGATCATTATTCAATTCTTCTTTCCAGTACTGTTTAAATTGTTTTTCCAATTGTATTTGTAAATTTTTGTTTTCAGCAGTTGTTGTTATTCTGTCCAAATTAATTGTGTCACTTTCATTGATGTTGTTTAATTGTGTCGTTATTGCGATATACCATTTACTGTTCATTTGCTTGTTTAGTATTGCTGCTTCTTTAATTAGTACGTTAGGCAAGTTTATTGCGCGGTTGTAGTATTTGATCATTTAATAGATAATAGAGTACAATTTTAATATAGTGAGTCACAGTGAATATTGTGAAATTTGGTCGTAAGAAACGCACTTAATTCAGAAAAAATTCTATCAACATAATTTTGTGGTTTATAATATTCTTTATGGACTGGATACAGCTTTTGCGGCCCGAGGTCGTGCGATGGAAGCGCCAAAGCTTGCAAGGGCTAGTGAGCCATACAACTGAGGGCGGCAGAAGCCGTATCCAGTCCATAAAGGTTTTATCATATACATTATTATAATTACAATTTTACCACAGCATGACCTCAAACACACGACATAATTTAGAATGACGCATTTTGTTTTGATTGATGAAAGCTGGGCGCGCTGGGCCTGGCGTGATGGGCCAGGCAAGATATTGGAAATTATTGTCTTGATGCGAGGGTGCACTTCCCATAGCGTTACAAGGCCGGACAATACAAAGTTTATGATAATGTAACGTAAACTGTTTTACAAGAGACAGATTTTCATGGATAGCAGATAATCGGTTAAAATAGCAAAATTTGTTAGCAGTGCAAATTCACTGGAGTCACTTGGTGATAATCATGATTCTTGTGGTTCCCAGTAAACTATTCACTAATATAGAACAAAGGTCAAAAAAAGAAAAATCCCAGGATGCTAGAACCAAACCTTGGAGCCAGCACAAAGTGGAGAGAAACAATGACCACACTCAGCAATAGTAAATGTAAAACAATACTCGTTACTGGATGACTTACCAGCTTTGCAAGCTTTATGAAAAACAATATGTACGTTGAACTCATTCCAAAACAGTCGTTCTAGAAAACATTTTTCTACCTGGAATTCAGGTATTTATGCATTCAATGCATATTACATGATTACAATAAAGGTACTACAAACCATAAAAATAAGAAAAATGAATGAAATATATCTGACTAAAATTGAAAATCCCAACTATAGAGCTGCTATGACAAAACTCAGGATAAGCTCTCAAGTCTAATGTCCTTCAAATCGAAAGGGTAATTGTAAATATATCACTGCTGAAGATAGAATCTGTTTAGTCTGTGACCAACAAGAAATTGCAAATGAAAAACATTTACTCCTCAATTGCAACTATATAAGGAAAAAAAAGAAAGCATGATTAAAAATGTAATTTTCAGTAAAGTCAACTCCTTGACAGATGTAAAAATAATAAAACAATCATTGAGCTGGCTACTTTCTTCCATACTTGTTTCAGAATGAAAGAAGACAAATTCATAAAAATGCCAGCTGCCTCAACCAACCGACAAATAAGGAAATCAAATCATTATTTTTTGTTTTTCTCATTTTTTGGCTTGCATGTATTGAAGTGAAGGTTAAAGTCATACCGGCAGTAGTGGCAAAATGTATGTCTTCTGGCGGCGTAGGGATTGATGTGCAGTCATGATTTCTAGCAATTCAATTAATCTAATCAGGTTGATTGGTAAATTTTGTTGAGGTTCATGTTAAATAAATATAAATAATATTGTTGACTTTGTGAATATAAAGGTCAGATCATTCAACTTTAAATTAATAGCATGGATAATTTCAACACTTTTGTTTCTGTGTTGCTGTACATAATGCACACTCTACTTTACACCTGCTTTTGAATTCCTTTGGAAGAGTCATAATGAGTAACTTTCATAATTTTTTCTACAGTACATTCTAATTAGGAGATTACTATCAAACCTATATATATGGTTAATATGTATGTATGCATAGAATACTTATCTCACCCTATGCTATGATCTTCTGACCATATGTGATCTTCCCTATCCTTTGTAGTCCATCTCTTGATCTTATGCTATGATCTGCCCCACATATGTATTGATATCCCAACCCTATGCTATGATCTTCTGACCATATGTGATCTTCCCTACCCTTTGTAGTCCATCTCTTAATCTTATGCTATGATCTGCCCCACATATGTATTGATATCCCCACCCTATGCTATGATCTTCTGACCATATGTGATCTTCCTTACCCTTTGTAGTCCATCTCTTGATCTTATGCTATGATCTGCCCCACATATGTATTGATATCCCCACCCTATGCTATGATCTTCTGACCATATGTGATCTTCCCTACCCTTTGTAGTCCATCTCTTGATCTTATGCTATGATCTGCCCCACATATGTATTGATATCCCCACCCTATGCTATGATCTTCTGACCATATGTGATCTTCCCTACCCTTTGTAGGCCATCTCTGCGCCACATATGTGTTGATATCTCCACCCTATATTGTATTTTTCTTTCTCTGTTGTTGTTACTTTATTGTTCCCTTTACCAAGATCAAATACAGGGATACAGTTTCAATAAAGATTATTATTCTTATTATAAACTAACTCAAGCAGTATGTGTTCTAATTAAAATACCGAAAAGTCATGATTTACTGAATGTAATTAATAACAACAGATACTGACTCTCTTCTGTTTTGTTTCGTGCTTGCAGCATAAAATCATTTTGTAGCTATATTTAACAGTGACCTTTAGGTAGTATGATAGCATTAAAACATGGAAAATTATTTAAAAATTGTTGATTCACACATATGCACATGATTCATATTAAAAGTTTTCACAGTAAAACAAATGATGTGTTTCCATGGAAACATGTGCAAAATAATCTAAATTGTGGCCATTTTGGAGCATTTTCCGTAAGATTCCATTTGAACACACTTTTCCATGGTTAACTTATAATGATTTTCAAAATTTTAAAATTTTTTGTGACAGTCACATGTAGCCCTCATGAACACTTTTTGTTAGTATAAGTCACCAAACAAAATTTTGCGATATGATGGGATGTTTCTGCCATAGGAACCAATTGTAAATTATTCAAAAAATGCATTTTTGGTAAATTTTTGAGGTACTTTTGTAGAAAACTTAGTTCGTTCATTAACCGTATATTTTTATTTCAGAATTTTAAACACCACAGTAACCAAACTCTCGCTGGATTCAAGAGTATTTTTTTAATAGTAGCAAACTAATGGTACCGGGTACCTTAAAACCTGACAAAATATGATAAATCTGATCTTGATGAAGGGTGTTTATTACAGCTAGACTTCAAAGGAACAATTCTCTATTGTTTTAACCTTTTCACCTCCAGACTTTCTCGCCCAAATTTTCTGCACTTTTTTTTTATATTTTTCAATATTTTAGGATATGAACCCAAATTTTTGAACCAACAGACAAAATTTTAGTCAATTCTTAGGTTATTTTTTTCCCAGTCTTCCGAAGGTAAGTGCAGACTGTAAACAGGACTTGTGATGAAAAGAGGGAACTAGTGGTGAAAAAGTTAAGGGCCCTATGTGAGCCTTTAAAATGCATTGAGGAGAACACTAGACAACAAACATGTCTCATATTGACTGACGTGATGCATTTATAATCTTTTTATGGCAGGAAATGATGTTGTTATTGTGAAAGCTGGTAGAAGGATATGTGGTACGGGTGGTGCGCTAGCCAATGGCCCTATTGTACAAGACAAAGCCTACTTTGAAATGAAAATACAGTCAACAGGTGAGAGAAGATCATTTCTTTGTAATTTCTGTGTCAATGAATTAACCTAGTTTCTTGTATACTGAGATGGCATCAATCAATATAGGATATTTAGATGTTGTCTGTGATGAACAATTAACTTTTACATTGTCTCTTTACACTAATGTAACCAATGTCAACGTAAGAAATAAACAGATGTGAAATGTGAAGGTTTAAATGTGGCACAGATCATACCCACTTAAAGAAGATTATCACCACCAGCATAACTATTACATAATAGCATACCAGCATAAAAACAGATGAGAACAGTATAGTAGACAGACTGGCAAAGTGTGTCAAATTTTAAAGCAGTTTAGGTTGCTATATCGCCTTGTATACGTTTACATCGCTTGTAAGAATTGCTGATGTGAATACAAGATTCTTATCTTTTTGATTACTGGGTGCAACTTACGTCAACGAGAGCGCCCTCATGCCATGGCCATGCGTCCCCTTACCCTGGGGAGCAGATCCTCTGGCGATCATAAAATTCTAAATGACCAGGGATCACATGTGGTCTTCAACTGTGACCTGTCTGATAGTAATTATGGCCCAAAGAAGCCATAGAATGCTCCATTTTAACTTAGAATTATCAAAAACTCCATCCCCTGGTAGGGAGAATCCTTTCTCCCCCACTTGGTGGTGCCACTGAATTGCAGTGCTCCCTCTTGCAGTTTTTTTCTAGAAAAACCCCTGTGTACCATGGATATAAAAGCATGCACTATGATGCCCACGATGGTTGGTGATATTGCAAACAAATTTTGTCACAGTGTGAGAGAGCAAAACATTTTATGGTTAAATCTCCATATTAACTGTGTTTTAATATACCGATAGCTATTTATTTTACACACAAAAATTTAATCCAGCGAATTATAAATTAAGTTTTTAAAAGTATAAGTTTCTTGCTGTGACAATTTATGTAAATTTATTGTGACACCAGAAACAATTTGACAGTGTTTTCTTTCCATATGTTTCTTGCTGTAGGTGTGTGGGGAATAGGTCTGGCTACAAGGAAGGCTAATTTAAATTGCATTCCCATGGGTACTGACAGTGAAACCTGGGTGTTAAGAGAAGATGGAACAATATATCACAACAATCAGCTCTTGCATAAATTAGGTGTTATTCCATGTGAAGGCGATGTGGTGGTAAAGTCCCTGTTTACTCTCTCTTTCCTCTATTTCTCTGCTCTCTGCTCATTGCTAGGGGTCTGTGTGTGTGTCTCGACCTATACTTTGCATGGGATGCCTGCATGCTCTAAAAATCTCAAGGTGCTTCTGGATAATACATACAAGGAAGGAAGGATTTATAAGATGAGTTTATGCAACTAGATATCCATGTATATATGTGACGATAACCCCATTCTCTGCGAGTTCTATGTACGTGTCATTCAAGCATACCACTGGCATTGCAGAACACAAGGGACATTTGGAGATATTCAGTTGTGCAAACAGATTGAGAGATTTTTATTGGTCACACCAGTTGCATACCCTTGTTTTTAAAATCCTTGATACAGAGTTTTAATTAATGGGAGCAAACATACATTGTGTGGACTTCTGCCCAGAAACAGTCTCACATTTGACTTGAAATCATCTAATGAAATTTGAAGTGAAAGTTTCATGAATGAATGAATGATGAAATAGTTTTTTTTTTAGCTGCCCACCAACATCCAAAGGGAGGTATGTTGTATATAATCATAACAAATATTCAATTCTATGTCCAGGTTTTAAAAGACCAGCCAGATATGTTTCATTTCAAAATTGAGGGTATCTTTGAACAAGTGACCTGACGGTCGAAATAGCTCCGTTGTCTTCATTATCATGGAACAAGAATCAGTAAAGTGGCATTGTGGTTGAGGGTTTCAGACTAGTTGTCAAAAATATTTTTTTTTACCAAAAATGACAAAAATATTCACTAAAAATCCAAATTTGCACATTTTGACACAAATTTAACAAATCTGACAGAAGACCACCCCACGTACCATTGCTGGAAATATGAAAGCATTTGGACTTATGGTTTCGAACTAGTTGTTGAAAATAACATTTTTCACCAAAAATATTCACTAAAAATCCAAATTTGCATATTTTGTCACAAATTTAACAAATCTGACAGAGAATCACCCCAAGTACTTTTGGTACAAATAGGAATGTAATTGGTCAAGTACTTTTGAAGAAGAAGTCATTTAAAGGAAAACTTCACACAGGACAGACAGATGACGCTGGAGAGACCCCCATACCAACAGCTCTGCTGGGTCATCTGCGATAACAGCGGAGCTAATAAGAGGGAGATATATTTTCAAATCATAAAGTAAAATAACAGCTAAGGGACTCAAAACTTGTCTATAGATGTTTCTGTGGGTGTAGCTTAGAAAATAAAGTGCAAATTAATGATCATTTTGATCTGGAGTGAGCCCTTCTGTCCAAATGCAAAAGTATGGACCCCATTTTCAGAAAAGAAGCGAGTGTGATCAGTGAGGTCATCATTAGACTGCACCATAAAAAGATATTCTGTTATCAATTATCAATTATTAATTATGTCATGTTTTATTTCAGGGTGTGACATATGACCATGTAGAATTCAATTTATATTTAAATGGTCAGACTTTACAGTGTCCGATAAGGGGCATCAAAGGAATCATTTATCCAGTATTCTATGGTAAGTTTTCAGCTCAGATGGCACCCAATGTTTAAAATTCAAATGTTGTATCTCATTAATTGTCACTATTTTAAGTATATACACTCCATTTTGAAGTTTTACCTATTCACATAGATTTAATTCAGTGCATTTTACATATCAGTGTGAGTGTATGCAATTGCACTTTGAATGTACATCATGGGGAGATGCCTAAATGTTCAAGTTATGAAAATTGAGTTACGAACACTGAGTTACAAAAAGATTTGAGTTACAAACATGCCCATATTTTAAAAAACACGTCCACTTTTGGTAAACCACGCCCAAATTAACGGTCAATTAACAGTTAACCAAACTTTGAGTTACGGGCAACATAAATTGCTAATGTTGTTTAACATCCACATTTAGTAATTCAAACTTTAATTAAGTTAGCCGAACATAAAGTTTTATGTTTCTCGTAACTCAAAGTTTGGTTAACAGTTAATTAAAATTTGATTAATTAAATTTGAACATTAAACAAATCTATGTTGCCCATACCTGAATGTTAAGTTAACTGTTTATTAAAGTTTGAGTTACTAAATGTGGATATTCAACAAAAAACAAAAATATATATTATCCATATTTTTGAAGTTCTGTTAATTGAACATTGAGTTACAATTTGGGCGTGGTTTCTCAAGTGAGCATGGTTTCTCAAATATGGGCGTGGTCATTTGTGTAACTCAATGTTTGTAACTCAATGTCCATAACTAAACAATTCAGCATCAGTGGTATACATATGTATGTAACAGGTACCTTGGGTGGTACCTGTCAAATTTGTTCATTCCATGACAATATCTTCAAAATATATATTTTTAGCAAATACGTTTTTTGATAAATAATTCCATTTTTGGCTTCTTGAAAACTACCAGCTCAGTTGGTATGTAGGTACCATGGGTAGACTTCTGTGAGATTTGTTCATAATGGGACATAATCTGCAATTATCTATTTTTAGCGAATAGTTTTGTCATCTTCTTGAAAACTACCAACTCAATTCTCAGTACCTCGAATACAAAATGCACGTCTTTGGATTGTTTTTGCTGTGTTTCTCGCATTGCATCATGGGAAAATGTTGACATATTAGACAATTTAAGAACTGATTGACCTTCTGAGTGTGTTTTATCAGGTATGATAAACTTGTTGGAGGTTGTACACAAAATATGTTGGGAAAAAAGTCGCATATTATGTTAATGAATTTTAAGTGGACAGAAAAATAAATGGGAATGATCTGAGCTTGGTCCCATAACTGAACTGACACAGGATGTTAAATAAAAAAAAATTTCCTGGAAAAAATAGCAGTTTATATGTCGAGCAAATTGTTTTACTTTTGGATTCTAAGTCAAATGAGGGCTGTAAGAATTGTATTCCTAACATTACAGGTATGCTTGTCAACCAATATTTCATACATTTTGATGAGTTGGTGTTCCAGTGACGTGTAAAAAAGTTCAATAAGAGATGACAAATATAATAACATGTTGAAAAATGCATTTATAAAATTGTATTCAGTGAAATTACACGACACACTGAATGGCAGACTGGACTCTACATCTATGATGGCTGAACTGATGGTTCATTGCATTTTCGCTTGCCATTCTATGCAAAACATTGTGCATTACGTGTGGTCTGTACTGTAGTAGAATGTAAAACCTGTTGACCCCGGAAGTTCGAAAGTCACCTGGTTAGTGTTGAATTGCTTTTAAACCTGGTACTTTGTAGGTACCTTGGGTGGACCTCTGTCATGATGTAAATGCATGACTTATTGTGGGGACAATAACCGTAACAAACAGCTGGTAGCTAAAATTCCTTCCTACAGAACATTGTAAACTTTGTTTTGAGAAGACCACGAGGTCACTTGTATGTGTTTGTTCAACCTATTCTTACCTGCAGCAAGCACAGTAATTTAGGTGTGATAAAATGTGTATTTGATTGCTGGATGCAAATCTTTGTAGATTAGTTCATCTCTATATATGTTCCCCCAATCATTAGATTTCAATGGTGCTTTGTGATAATGCATAGACCTGATAAGATTTCAGTGAATATCTGTACTTATTGCTGATATGTAATAGTGTTATACATACACACACACACACACACACAAAAAAAGACTTTTTTTTAATATGGAAATAACATTTTATTTCGCTTACTCCCAAATGAAATGCCATTTATTTTTTTGCAACCAATTCAAGATGGCCAATTTTAAAGTTAAGAAATGTCTGCATGTCCACTAATTCCTGAACCGAATCTAGATCGTGCACAAACATATTTTGTTCAAAGTTGGTATATATACATATGGAACATAATCGTAACTTGATGCATGCTATTTTGTTTATAGATCAGATTTTAACGAATGCTATTCCAAAGACTCATCTCTGAGACTAGCTTTGTAAAACAGACAGGGACTGTGTATCATGTCTTGTATCATTTGAGTAACTGTATTGCTGTTATGTTAATATTGTTTAAATGCATCTGGTGTTTTCTATTTCAGTTGATGAAGGTGCAATACTAGACGTGCAATTTAATGAGTTTTATTACGTGCCGCCATCTGGATTTGACAAAATTATGTTTGAACAGTCTCTTTTATAGTCTTCTGCCTCATGGACACTTGTACAATTCTACTAGTTTTCTGCCTCATGGACACCTGTATTGCGACTACAGTCCTGCTAGTCTCTCAGCTGTTGGGGATCTATGGTGAACCAAATACAGTATTCATAATCTAATACCAAGTGCACTCCTGAAATTGCTTCTACACCTTGCACATTGTATCACCGTCACCATCAGTACCTTCAGCGGGTGAGATTTGCCAGTGGCAACGTTTTCACAAATTTAGGTCTAAGAACGTGGAACTGCTTCATCTCAAGATGTTATCAACATGCACATCTCAACAAGGTTGGACGATGTCTATATGTTCAGAAAAAAACATTGGATTATACAACCTCATTGGCCACTGTCAGTGTTTTTAAAGTGCCTGTGCAATGCCCACCCACACGCTTCCCATGTTAGATCTGTGCCCCACTGAAGTGGGCAATTATTGATTTTTTTGCTGAAAATGATTACTCGTATCCAAGTAAATTCGAGATATTTCCCGTGCTGTAGCCACGCCCACCTATCCTGAAACGGTCGACTGTTTCCGGATTTCTGACTCTCGCCGAAAGTGCGCCACCAAATGCAAAAATATGAGAGGAAGCCATACCCCTGGGCCGTACTTTTATATCACTGTGTCATTCAACGTACAACTGTACTTTTAAACGATATACATTTTTTAATCGGCGTTCACTTTGTCTATTTTATTTTATTTTTGAGAGCGAATTTTTAGAAGTTGTTTTCACAACAAACTTTTATGATGGTTAAACGTTGTGTTGTGGGCGGTTGCAGTAATGCGTATAGTCATAGTGTAAGTATTTCCACGTTTCCAATCGATCCGACGG